AGAGAGAGAGAGAGAGAGAGAGAGAGAGAGAGAGAGAGAGTCCACAAATGTATGATTCTGTTACTGTTCTTACTATTCACCTTTAACCATCTTTCAATAGGACCAAGACAAAGACTCTCCTAAATACTCATTCCAAGATAATGATCCGGTAGAGGGTAAAGAGACCAGAACTGTTTCCTGCCCCATTGAAGTGGATGATCATGAGGACAACTCAGTTGCTCTGTGTCTCCCTCCCCAGACCTTGGAGCATGGCCCTTCTCTAAACAGTCACCATGAAACTATCTTAAACACTGAGGATGCAGAAGATCCAATGAAGAGAGCCCCGAGTTCTCCAGCTCTAACTCAGCTCAGCACGAACTGTAATGAGAACATGGTTAATAGGGATGTGAACATTCCTCTGGCTAATGGCTCCTGGCATGAAGTGGTAAGCTTGTGGAACCTGTTTCTTCACCAAATTTATTTGAATTTGTATTTTTATTTTTTAAAAAATTCGGTCAGCATAGTTGAGATATGGTTATTCCTGCCTAAAATAGAGCCAGATTTGATAGATTTTTGTTATTTTTTTTCTCTTCTTATAAGAGTGACACATTTGTTTTTTATTTATATGAGCTTTCGAATTTATGTTGAGATTCTTTATTTTAGGGGGGTTAGTTTGGCCACCCATGGTTTAGTAATCCATCCAGAGAAACAGTGCTAGCAAACATGTGGACAGCTAGTATTGGTCAAAGAATTTGGGAGGTTTGCTAAAAGCATTGGTAGCCGAATTGTGGTGTAGTTTCAATGCTTCAGTTGTTTACATTCCAAGTAACGAGTTTTGGTGGAATTTTGAAAATCATAAGTTTCTCCCTTTTTTAGTTTTATTTTGTTTACAGTACCCAAAATATCCAAAACCGAGTTTAGTGGCTGGTACTCAAAAGGGCCGTAACCCGGTGTTGGTCCCGCCTACGCAAGGTCCCGGGAGGGGTGAGCTGGAAACGGTCCTAACATTTGACTTATGCACAAAGTGGCCGCCCTCAGGACTCGAACCCACGCTCTTGCGCAGGCTGCTTGAGCCTTTTACCATCACACCAAGTGACAGGCCCTTAATGGCTGGTACACAATTTTTCATAATTCAAATCTACCAAATCCAGACAATTTAGTCAAATATTGCTTCTCTTAGCAATATTTCTTCTCTTAGCAATATTTCACAACCATTGATTGATCTTTCTGTGAAACATTTTAGACGATTTTCGAAATTTAAGATCAAATTGTTACTGGTCTGATGGGCACTCCGTCTTTTTGTATTAATTCATTTTTTTTTTCTTTTTCAGACTGAATATAAGCCCAATTTTCATTCAAGATCTGAATTCCCAGTCTTGCACCCCAACCGAACCGACCCTGAAATTCTGACCACTTTCGAGCCGTGCCCATACCCTAGCCCTGAAAGAAGTGAAGGCTTTGCACGAGCTTCCTCTCTATCTCTAGGTCCACCATTTTTCAAAGACCAGCATAGAAGCCAAGCTCAAAATGAGTCCATTCTTCCATTTCTGAAGGACCCACATGTACCGCAATTACTTGACCTCCAAAACCAGACTTATGCTCAAAGACAGGAATTTCTCCCACTGGAATACAGGCAACGGGCCCCCCATGTCTTGCTACCCAATGGAGAGATGTTGGTTCAAGAGGATTTTCCCTCTCTGGAATACAGGCAAGGCAGCCTTTTCATGCTACCTCAATGGAATAATTCCTTGCACTCACGGTCTACTTTCGAGAGGCCTGATCAGTTTATGAGGGGGAATAATGAGGAAATGACAGAGAGATGTGGTGAAGGTTTACAATATGTGTATGGGGAGCATCATATTGGTTACACGCACCAGACTGGTGGTCGTGGCCACAGGGCCAATGGCATGACATGGGGCCCACTAGGCTCATGTGCAGGCCCTGAAGTCTCTCACCAAAATTCAGGCCTGCCGGACCTTATCAGGAAATCATTTTTCTGAGGCAAAATCTGCCATATTGATTTCATAGGTTTTGGATGGGGTGGTCTAATTTTGCCGGACCCTCGAGTGATGGTTTTCAGAGAGTATCGGTCCAAAGAGTTTTGAAGAGGATGAAATGTCTGTATATAAAAGGGTGTCAGTCATTTTCTTGTTTGTTTTATTTTATGTTTTTTCTTTTTGGGTTTCTGGGGCATGATAAGTTATGGGATTCTACACAATCCTTGTTCAGAGTCCCTGTGATAATGCCCCTTGAAGTTAATAAGAGGCCAGATTCAAGGCTTGGATTTTTTTGGTCAGGGATGCTTGGTATGTCTATATCATGGTTTAGAACTTTGCTAAATTTTGGGTGGAACATGGCTAATGGCTAATTCATGTAAATAATCAATAAGTTCAGTGGTCCAATTGGATGAAATCTGGTGAAAATTCGGCTAGAATCTGATCGGTCTTTGAACCTTCACATGCTGAATTTTGGATGGTGCTAGATATTGGAAATGCAATGCTGTGTTTCTCAGGAATTTTGGCTTGGTTTCAGTAAAATAAGAGGGAAATATTTCAAGAGCAATTTGCATATTGGAGGAGGAAATAAACATTTCTCTATGGACAGTAATGCATATCAAATTGAAGGTTTCTATACAACGAGCTTGTTTTCTTTCCTCAGGTACCTTCATATCAGCATTGACATCAGTTGTCGACAAGGGAAAGCTGGGGAGTGAGTTGTTCCTCTGCTCAATTTCTGTTAAAAGTTTGATCACAGGAACCGGCACAACCAAGCAGCCCTCGTTGATATTTGATGGCTGAATGTAGGGAAAATAACTATACTCATCGAATAGGATTCCTTGAAGTAATTACCATTTAAACAGGAAAAGCATCTGGTATAGCTTCATCTCCACCATCAGCTTTGATCATGAATGAAGATGAATGATTCCATCTGCATGACATGAAAGACTCAAGGTGGCCAAACGGTTTATTCCCCATCGTCCTTACTAAGGATGAAGAGGCAGATGAGCTTGTACTATATACATTTTGCATAGTGTGTCATAGGGAAAAGTTTATATAGAGTTGAGGCTCTAAACAATCAAATTAGAGCCTTCCCCAAAAATTTCACTAGAAGAGGTTGTGTTGATGCCCAAATATCTTCAAATTGATCATCAAGATGCATGGACATACGAATAAAATGGATTTCACGTTCTGGAAATAATGTATTTTGTAATGCATATTTGGACCGTCAATTTTCAAGATTTTCAAGTTTTTATAGATCGGTCAATCTATATTATTTTTGAAGCTTTAAACCTTATAAGTAAATATGAAAATATATTTTAAGGCTATCACGAAGGTTTCCAATATTGAAACCACATTTCTCGACACTATTTGACGGTTGGCTCTAATTTGAATTTTTAGAGACTAGGCTCTATACAAACCGCACCGATAACAATAACCGCTAAAAAATGCGAGTGTTACTATGGTTAAACAAGTAACCATCTAAATGTTTCGATGCCTCTCTTTGTTACAATCGTTAAACAACAAACCATCTAAATGTTTTGACCTCTCTCTCTATTTGATTGAGCTCTGTAAAGTTTTGTTGAATTCCACCTACAACCTCTGAGTTGAGCTGCCGACAGTTACGGTGAATCTGCTGCCGACAGTTACGGCGTACCTTTACGGTTAGACGTGAGGGTAGCCCTAGCCTGAATATTTTAAACTGGTCCAAGTCTGATCCCGACCTATGATTCTAGGTGTGCTGCTTGAACCCGGCTTGAAACGCAGTCCAAGCTTGCAAGACAGCCTGGCCTGACTAGCAGCCCATGTACTTAATGCTACCAATAGTTTGGGTTTAACTCAGGTCGAGCTTAGCCTGTGCACTATTTGAGCTTTTGGTAGGGGTGGCATCAGGTCTGGTCGGAGGGGGAGACTGGACCCAGACCTATACCCGATTGGACCCAACCCAAAAATTTAGATATCTACTAACTATACTCAAATATATTTCATATATTGGGACTCAAAAAATATTACCAGATTTGGATCGATCCTAATCGGACCTAGATCCAAATAATGTTTGGGTCCAATATTTGGACCCGGACCAGACCCGCACGGGTCAATTTTTGGACCCATATACAAACCCAGATCGGGTGTACCCCTCAGGTCCCGGTCCATTGCCACCCCTAGCTTTTGTAGCTAGGCCGGGACCTGCACTTTTTAAGCCAAAGCATGCATGTGCTTGTGCTAACCCAGCACTGAAGCCCGTAGGCAGCCCGATCTGATTGACAACCCTACTTTTCGAAAGAGAGAGAGGCAGGATGGGGAGGGAGGAGGATTTGTTCTTCGGCACTTCCACAATGAAGCTTAACAAGCTACTACTGGGAGGGTCAAGAAGTTGCAACCGTTATCTTTTGAATATCTTGAGGTCAAGGGTATGGTTTGTATAATGCCAAGGTTCTAAACAATTATAATAGTGTGCACCTTTAAATAATGTCGAAATATGTTGTTTTAATGTTAGAAATCTTTATGATGACCTGCAAAATTATTTTTATTTTTAAGAAGAAATTTTAAAATTAAAAAATAATATAAATCGAGCAGATCTATGAATACTTGAAAATCTTAAAAATTGACCGTTTAGATAATACATTATAAGATTCACTACTTTCAATACTCGAAAGCTTTTTTTTTTTTTTCTTATGTCCATACATCTAGGTTGAGATGATTGAATTGACGGTTTTCCGGCATTAAAACAACATTTATCAATAAGTTTTTGAGGTGTGCCTTAATTTGATTGTTTAGAGCCTCTCATTTATATAAACTTTTTTGTTTTTTTTTTCTTGAGGTCAAACACAAGGCGGAAAGTATTGTTATCGGAACATTTCTGAACTTAACTTGGGCGGAATTTTAACAGTTGGAATTGTAACCAAGAAAGGAAATGTCAGAGAAAGAGAATATAAATTTGCCATTAAAGGGAGGAAGAATCGCTTACTAAAAAAAAAAGAAGATGTTTTATACCAGTGAAAGAATCGGTTACTAAAAAAAGAAAGAATCGCTTACTAAAAAAGTAAAGAAGGGTTGAAGCCGCATTGAAATAAATAAGGTCATTTGGTAACCTGCCCCCTAAGAATGCGTTACGACCCAAGCAAGGAATGGATATCCATATAAGTGCCCTGCCCGTTTCTCATATATCTTCCTCTTTATTTAATACAATAAATAACACTTAAAGAGCATCCACCGTTACAAGACTTGCAAGCCTCATGTTTGGATTGGATTATTCCCAAGATAACCCTTCAATTCAAGAAAAATAAGCAATACGTGTGCATTCTTCAAATCAATTTATGCGTATGCTAAGAGTGCTCTCTACCTCTATAAATTTTAAATTTAAAGGTTGCAACCTTATTTGTATAAATAAAGTTGTGGTATTCTATAACATTTATTTTATTTAGATGATGTATATTTGACATGTCTTTTAAGACAAGAAAAAAGTTTATATATGGTTGCAACCTTATCTCTATTGTTACGGATGCATCTGAAAAATCCATCGGAAAATATAGTTTTAATGTTGAAAAACCCTTTGATTAATCATCTCGATATCGAGATGTATGACCATAAAAAATAAAAAGATTTTAAGTCTCAAAAATAGTGCATTTCACAACATATTATCTGCACCGTCCATTTTCAAGATTTTCATATATTTATAGTCTACTTGATTTTAACCATTTTTAAAATTTAAAATTTTATAATTCGATATAAAATAGATTTTTAGATAATCCTAAGAACATTTTACATCAAAATTATATACCATGACAAAATTTGAAGGTGCACCTTACATCTACAGCTAGGGATGCATCTGTATGCCAACTACACCCTTAAGACAATATCAATATACATCATGTCTTTTAAGTAGCATCCAATCTATACTATTCAAATAAAATAGAAAGAATAGATTGCTGTAATTTTATTTCTACAAATAAAGTTACAACCTTATATAAATATTTTCGAAATTTTAAATCATTTTAATGCTAAAACACACCCACACACTCACTCACTCTCTATTTAAAATACCCTTATGTTTTGTCCTGTTAATGATCTCATTTCAAACTTCCAATGCCCACTTCTTTGAACTTCCAAAGAAGAATTATATAAAAAATGACATCTTATTTTTTTGGTATAAGAATGTTGCGTTCATTTATATCTGTCAAATATAAAATTAGATATTAAAAATGTAATATTGTCATTCTACTAACACTTTTCTTATATTTCATGCAAAAACCTTGAATCTGGCCATCCAGTTTTTCATTTGACATTAGGTGGAGTGCTTATAATCTCTAACGTACAAAAGGCAGTGGTCTCATTCCATACAACTCCATTGCAGATTGAGAAGTTTGTTTACCAAATGTGCATGCGAAAGCTACATAGAAGGATCAAATAGAAATTTCTTAAACTAACACGGGCATATAAATAGAAGGATCAAATAGAAAATTTTTAAACTAGTAAGGGCATATAAAAACATCATGAAAAATTGTTCCATGCGGGTTGGATCGCATTCCTACATATGCGATCCAGAAAGTTTAAAGCATCCCTTTTGATGATGGATGCAAATAAGTGTCTCATTGAAAAATAATAGAAACTAAAGGTCCAAAATGTTTTCTTACTAAAATTATTATTTTTAGTTTTTTAAATTTATTTATTTATATTCACGATCTCCATGGATTACATGTCTTTAAAAATTGTCCATCTCATTTATTAAGAGGCCCGGCCCGTATTTCTACAAATGCGGGCTTAGCCGCATAGAAACCGGATTCCATCAAACATTTTATTATCCGTAAATGTCATCTCCGGATATGCTCTTTTTAATTTATTTATTTCAAATCAATGCCGACACTTGACAGTTAAAAACACTTAGGACGAGGGAAAACTAGCATATTTTTGAACCCTAAAATTGGCTTTGCTCAGTTTCTCTGCAAAATTGCGAGAAAGGAGAAGCCATGGCGAAGAACAAGAAGGATATTATAAGGCTGGAAAGGGAATCTGTTATTAAAACAATGAAGCCCAAGCTTAATATGAAATTGGCTTATTTGATAGGTATTCATATTTTCTTGCTTTCCTTTTTTTTTTTTCCAGTTGTTTCTTTTTTGTTTTCATGGGTTTTTGGTTTGTTTGCTTGGGTTTTGAGTGATTAATTTGTGCGAAAGTTTGATTTATAAAATGGGCCTTGAATGATTGATTTGAGCGATAGTTTGATTTATAAATTGCCACGGTACATTTCTCTTTCGTTAGGCGCTAAGATTAATGGTTTAGAGTTTTTTTTTTTGAACTGAGGCAGGAACAATGGAAAATGGGAAATTATGATTTGCCTCTCTCCCTCTAAGAGGCTAATGTATTGTTTCGAGTTTAATACTAGAAATGGAAAGCTACGCAAACATGGAAATCTGTTTCCTGTCTCCCCCACCTCTCTCTCTTTGAGACAATTTTGTGGTTTTGATTTTGAATATTGGATATGGAATAGTATAAAAATAAGAACATTTATTTTCTGTTTCCCCCGTCTTCTCTCTCATCAGAGAGCGGTAGACGTTTTTGTTTCTGGTTGGTAAAAGCAGAAGATTTTTTGGTTGTATTTGTGATAATGGACATGGGAATTTGTTGAAAATAAACGCAATATAATCTGTATATTGAAACCATACGCCATCTCTCTCTCTCTCTCTCTCTCTCTCTCCTGTCTAATGTTTTATTCTTGTTTCTTAGAGAAAAATATGTTTGAAAAATTTAAGTGTTGTGATTCGATATCCCACTCAATTTAACAGCCAATGCTTTAACTTGTCCCTTTCACGTGGCATGATGAATATGTATTTGTTCAAAATGATCATGATGAATTGTGTTCCTTTCCATGTACTGTTATGAATCTAAAATAGTAACATGACACTTTATTAGCATATATTATGGTTTGTTCTCTGTGAACCTCTTTGGCATCTTTTTAAAAGCATCACATATGCTGGCGTGTTCTGTAATATTGCTAACTTTCCTTCGTTTTCCTGTTTGGTTCGACTGAAAAGAGAAATGCATTGGTGCTTTTGTTGCTTTAAGGAAAGACTATCTTTGGAGTTGGTTCATATATTTTCCCATGTGAATCTTACGCGTTTGCATTATGAATTATTGGATAGGATCAAGAGGTCTGGGAGTCAACTGTAGTTCACTTTGTCATGGATAATGGTCGAACAATGTGGCACCCTAGACAATTTTATTGAGGATCCGTGTTTGTCCTGGATCCATTTTGCCATAATTGCATTTATCTAGGATTAGAGGATATAGCTAATGTGATGTGGTAATGCCATAATGGTAGGTACACTTTTGATTATCTTATTTATAGTTATAGTAATATTAGGCACTCATGATAAATTTACTAGGAAAATTGCTGGTTCACAACTTCCTTAATGACAAACCAAACTGTACCATAACCAAGAACATTACTTCAAAGGCTATGTTTATGTCAGAAGAGTTTATTCATAGTAAATTGTGAAGGTACCAGAAGGCAACTAATCTATTTTGACTGAAACTCCTAGGCGATGTCTTTAGAAGTGGGAGTGCGGACAGATAGATGGATGAGTTTTTTCTTGAGCTATTGCCATTAGGCCACTAATCTGGGAGCGTGAATGCATTTGTAATGCAAGGCTGCTATAACAAAGGAAGGGTTGTGAAGTGGGTAACAATTCTTATTGGAACAGCATTTTCTAGTTGTGAAGTGGTGTAATGCATCTTATTGGAATAACATTTTTGTAGTTTGTACTCTTTAAGGGTATTCTGCCCACTAGTCCAAGTACTTCCTTTGGTGGGTGGAGATGATGATGGGAAAGCATGCAAGGGGTTCACTTTAAGTGGTCATGGATATCAGTGATGTTATAATCCCTTGTGGGAGATAATTGATGGAAGATGGGATATCTAGCTGTATCTTGATGCCCATGTGGCCAACTTTATCTCAATCCATCTTTTATTTTTCAACAACAAGGTGAATTTGGGCTTCCATGACTCCCTCGTGAGGCTAGTTCCTGATCTGATACCATCATGAATGAATTGAAATAGTATAGGTCTATCCATAGGAGGAAACATGATACTGTAGATGCCTGCTAGAGGTGCATTTCAGTGGGACATTTCATTCCTAGAAAAGAATATAGTAAATTTATATGTTTTAGCTTACCTATGTATTCTAACGTATTTTTTTATTTCAAAATTTGATTAATTTCTCTAAATAAGTTTTAATGTATTTTTTGATTTCAAAATGAGATTAATTTCTCTAAATAATCAGTATTATTTCATGCAGCTGGATGATGATAGAATTTGGAAGTGATGCTGCAAATGTGCAGCAGAGCCTTTCAGATTTTGAGTGCATCCAGTTGTGAGCACCATGAAAGAAATAAAATTGTTTAGTGAATTTCTAGTCTAGGTAAATGATCCAGAGTGGGTATTTGAGTGAAAGCATCTCATGTGGTTGGGCACTGAGATGGCTAATAGGCTAAACACAGATGCTAGTTTGAAGATGAGATTGCTACACCCAAGGGGTTGTAGATGTAGGAGAGGATGTTGACTTGGAAGACGTACGAGGGAAATGACTTTTCTGTTGAGGTGGCTGATGATTCCTGATCGTGATGTGGATAACATGGCATCAACTGAAAGGGTAGAAAGGAGAGTTGAGAGGAAATTTGTAGCTGTGAGTTATGATAGAACTTAGGTGTTATAATAACTTTGGACGTCGGCTGTTGTAACTTTGGAATACGGGATATTTTGATTTGGATTTTTAATTTCATTTTCTTTAGGCCAGGTTTTTTTTTTATTTATTATTATTTAAACTATGACTTCTTGATTCATTAGTTACTAGGGGCTGTTTTGATCTCATTTAAGTGGTGTTGCCTTATGAGCATCCCAAGCACTATGTAGAGTTTGTTGCAGCACACAATCTACAATGAATCAATGAGATTTGTACATTAAAACAGGATTTATCACTGATGGAGGAAAAACTTTCAAAACCTGTTTTTCCTCCATTATTGTGATGGTGGCACTGTTAGGGCAACTATATGCACCACTCAAATCGGCATTCTAGATTTTTGTATTCTATGATTAACTTGTTACCATTAGCTTTATTACATTGTTTTGTTTGCTATTTCTCTGGCTTTCTGTTTTGTGACATTTGTTAGATGGATTGTTGTATATGTTTTAGTTGTCAAATTTCATTGTTTAATTTGTTTGTCACTGTGTTGGATCTTAAATCATAATTGTCTGGTTGTGATAATTTTATATGAATTTTTATTGTATTTTATGTTATTAGTTTCCTTTTGATATATGTGCATGTAGTTCTCTGGAAGCAGACATGAATATTCATGTTTGTATCGTGCACATCTTTGTTGACTATCAACACATCTCTCCCTCTCTCCACCCCCTCTTCTCCCCCCACTCTTTTGCTGCATTACTTGCAAACCATCTTCTCTGTCTTCTAAGATAAATATCTGGTATCTAATAGTAATCACTAGAGCATTAGAATAATATGAATGTACTATAGAAAATGAAACCAATGAAGTAAGTTAAGGTTTCGAGTACTAACTGTTCTCTCTCTTATGCCTTCCAGAATTGTCTTCAGACAAGACAGAGTTTTTGAAGCTCTGTAAGAGGATTGAATACACAATTCGTGCTTGGTATCATTTGCAATTTGAAGACTTGATGGTATAATGATCGCTAATCTTTCACAATCTGTTCATTTTTCTTCTGGTTTTTGACAATTTTACATGATTCACTTTTTCCAATATTTATTTATTTTTTTTGAAAAAAATGGATTCTGATTTTTTCTTTGGATTGCAATCTCATTTTGGTTAGCAATTATACTCGCTGTTTGATCCTCTCTATGGTGCTGAAAAGTTGGAACAACAAAAGTTGTCCCCGGGGGAGATTGATGACCTTGAGCAGAGTTTATTGACGTACTTATTCCAGGTATGCTTACTTTGAAATGTTTGGTTTTTTAAGCTCTCGTTTGATTATGTAAATAGTTCTTTGTTTTTATTTAAGCAATGTTGGGGAGGAAGTATATCTGATCAACTGATGCCTTGAAATAATAATGTTTATCCTCTTTTCTTTGTCTATGGAACATTAAAAGGTGTGTAAATATAGTTGTCATAAATGTTAAAAAACCTTACTCTGTGCCCCATGGGGTGTTAGATTCCTCATGCTATGAAGATGATGATTTAGCAACAGGCTTGGAGAACCAAATCCAGCAAATGTTCTAATTATTCCTATATTCCATTTCATGATGAATAGCAAGAAATAATCAATTATACCTTAATTGGCTAAATTCATAAATATTTTCAGAGGTCCATAGACGTTTTTAAGGTACACATGTTTCCACTCAAAACATAAAGAAAATTAAGTCCAGCCTCAAAAAACGTAAAGAAAAAATGTCTCTAGAATAATGTAATCAATGATTAATATACAATAAGAAGAATTGTCAAGAAAGTGTAAATACGTGTCGAACATGGTTACAACATCCCCATAGAAGAATAAGATATTTGTGTTTTGGAGATAGCTATATTTTGTCTTAGTGTAGGGCATGTTGATTCCTATTGTTTTGTTTTTATTCATTTAATTTCAAGGATGTATTTTTGGGTCTTTTCAGGATTTATTTTTATGGACTATATATATATATATATATATCATCATCATCATCATCATTAGAGTCTTTTCCCAACTATTTGGGGTTAGTTACACGAATCCTGTTCCACCATTATGCTCTATTAAGGGCCATACCATCAGTGAGGTCATAAATCCCCATATCTTTTTTCGCTACTTCCAACCATGTCTTTTTGGGCCAACTTCATGCCCTGTTTTTGCCTCCCACTTGAATTAACTCGCACCTCCAAACAAGTATTATGCTGGGTATATGTCACACATGGCCAGCCCACCGAAGTCTACTTTTTTCTCATCTTATTACCCATTGGTGCTGCACCTAAATTCTCCCGAATGTATTCATTTTGAATTCTATCCCTTCTTGTCGTGCCACTCATCCATCTCAACATCCTCATCGCAGCTACACTCATTTTATGGGTATGTTGTTTCTTGAACGCCAACATTCCGCTCCATAAAAAAAAGCTGGTCCCATAGCTGTCTTATATAACTTGCCCTTCAACTTCATGGGTATACGGCGAACACATGAAACTCTGGTTGCACATCTCCACTTCGCTCATCCATCCATCCATACATACGTACATATATATATATATATATAAATTAAACAATCTTTAAAAACCATGTTAAGGCCATTTGTTTGAACCCCAATTCTTAAATATACACTCTTTTCATTCTGGAAGGTGTTTTTTTAGCCCAATTTAAAGTAAATCGTCCATTTTAGTGAGATACTTAGATCTAGGCTTTAGAATGATCTTTTTCCTTTTCAAATTTTTTAGGTAGCTATATTGTTACTAGATTAACAATTTTAAAATAATAATAATAATAATAATAATTATAATAATAATAATAATAATAATAATAATAATAATAATAATTTTGAATTTGTAAAGGCCTAGATCTTAAAAATCACCAAATGGATGGTCTAGATTCATTGTTGGAGTGGACTCATTTTTTTCATTATATTGAACTTTATTTATTTTGGGATTTGATTATTAGCATGAAGAGAGTGTGTGTGATAAATTTGAGGGTCATACAAATGCCATAAACATTGTTTTCTCGAAGTATTGTTGCATTATATTACATTGTCACAATGACATGAGATCATTCCCCCACACGCACATACACACGCATACAATTCATAACCCGTCAACATACAAAAGTTAATGTTAGGAGTTGTGAAGAGTAGATTTACTATGTGGTTACTTTTAAAGTTATTTTTTTTAAAGTTACTTTTTGTGATATCTTGTTTATATGTACCCCTGGAACTTTTCAGGGGTATTTTGGTCAATTTATTTTATGCGATTTATTTTTTTGATATTTTTATTAGATTTTTTTTAATCTTGAAGAATACGCGTCCAAATTTCAAGTGATTTGGATTTGTAGAAAAACATTAAAATTCAATTACAAAATACAACTGTGATCATTGGATCGGCCCATATTCAATCATTGGATCACTGTTCCATCAGCCCATGGGCTGACATGAGCTTTTTACATATGTGTGTGTATATGTGTGTGTGTATATATATATATATATATATATATATGGGATTGTATGGAGACCATTTATTTTTAGTACAAGGAGGTCACAATTGGTACTAGCTATTAGATGTCAAATTGGATGGCTTGGGGTGTATCACAAAGTTCGAGAAATTCTTTTTTGAACTTGGAGTCTAGTCAAGTTTCACTCACAACCATCCAATTTGAAATCTGATGGACAAAAGTGATTGTGACCTCCTTGTATTAAAAGTAAATGTCTTTTTATATCAAATATATATATATATATATATATATATATATATACTATTATTGTTACGTGTCGGCGGTCGTCGGGACTCTACTTACTTACCTTAACAATAAGTGGTACC